ACATTCAGTAACTATAATTTACTATTAACAAATATTATTGCCAGTCAGGTAGTCAAAAGTGTTCACTCACATTTTCTTTGGCCTGCCGATGTCCCTCTCCCATATTTTTTAAACTGGCCAAATACAGTTTTTCTAAGTTCTTAATTTTCTGAGTTTGTGATTCTTCCCATTCTGCCCTTAGCTCCTCTGCCAAACGAGTGAATTGCTGATTTCTCCTGTGTTTTACGTCTTCTCTTATCTGTAAGGCGATATCCCTTTCTTGTTCTCGAACCTGAAGAAGGAGTATTTAACAGATTATATAAAAGGAGGTTTGCTTGAACTTCTTTGGAAAAACTATTTGGGAACAGGAACTCAAATGAATTCTCTTTAGGCTTTATCAGTTCTCCTGAATATTCATATCATATCGATAAGGACTGTCTAAAGTAGAAAATCTAAGTGATGTAGAAAAAATAAAAATCTCAAGACTACATCTAAAGTCCCCTAAGTGACTAGCTATTATCACCCCCGCCCCACGTCCTAACGGGACTGCCATTATCCTACAAGAGGCTAAGACAGTAAACGTGATTCAACAAATTTATAGCGTAGATGAGTATAGACAGAACCAAATGAGAACTACACATATGTGGTACATCACCACCAATGCAACTCAGAATGGCACTGAAAACATGTTTCACAGTTAACTATCTTTCTCTAAAAAGACTTCTAGAAAAAGGTAATCTACAACCTCCCTACAAAATTTGCTACAGCAAATAATTTTTCTAATAAGTCTTCTTAAAAGCCATTCTAATCTTCCTGCTCTAATCTTCATCAGTTACAGATAATTTAAAAAATATCATTTAAGGAAGTATTTTCCAATAATTATTAATTGAAATAACCCCTATCCTCAAACTATTCTTCAATCTACTTACCATCTCATCCCATTTTTCAAATGTTCCCAAACTAGTTAATACACAAGAAACAGGGCTCTTATACAGCCAGAAAAGCTTTTTAAAAGTAAAATTTTACTTGGAACACTTTAAGGTAGAAAACACAAATAATTTGGTGGGAAAACAAGGAATTTGAAACTCTATCCCAAATAAACTATACCTGTAGCAATCTTAGTTTTCGTC